TGACTGAACTCCAAGCACCAGTGACTGAACTCCAAGCACCAGTGACTAAACTCCAAGCACCAGTGACTGAACTCCAAGCACCAGTGCCGGCATGGTCTTTACATGTCGAACTACCGACCGGTCAAGTCCAGTCAAGTCACTGACCGGTCAAGTCATACAGTGCTATGAAGGAGCGGCCGGAGGGGAAGTTTCCGAAGAACCACTATTTTGCTCAGGATTTTGCACTTATCGAATGGTCTTGGAAAGCATAATAGTAATATCACCGAAACCAGCAACACTGGCGCCAGTGTTCCACCTCAACCAGCAGCCCTCTGCCTTCTTTCTTCACCGAAGCGGTCCCCTCACGTGTAACAGAAGAGTCGGCAGCGGCGCCGGTCGATCCCAAACGGAACCAAGGCTCTACTCGCTTCACCTTGCTACCTCGGAGAGGCAGAAGGAGAGACGAGGGGTGCGGGAGAGACGTGGTGCAGCGATGCCATCGTTTCAGGACCGAAGCCGTGATCGCTTGCGTGTCGATGGGTACCGAAACGAGGCCTGAAACGATGGTAACGTGATGCCTCAAGGCCTGGCCGAACAATGGCCATGGCCTGAAACGATCAAGACCGGAAGTCTCATTGAACATTGCATGTTCTACCACAGGAGCTGTTGTTTCTTTGGGGGTGCCATGAGCCGGTTGTGATGCCGTGTGTTGTGAGCCACGTGATTAGGTGTGATGTGGAGAAAAAGGATTGATTGAGGGCTATAGATGTGGTTGATGTTGACCCCAAGCTGCAAAGAACACGGCGAAGGAGTCCAGATTTACATTCTGCTTCACTTTACTTCTTGTCACCTGTGAAGTACCGGGCGCCGCTTGTTTATGGGCGCCGCTTCTGCGGGCGTCATGGATCCACATCTGAGGAACCAAACCCGAACCTTCCAATTGAGGAGTGGTGTTCCTCAAATGAAAAGGTGGTCTTTGCATACTGGACGAGGCTGATTGACCCCTGTTTTGGAGCCCAAACATGGTCTTTTCCTATCAAAACAAAGGTCACATGGGTTCTAGGTATGCCTATATGTGTAGTGTATGTGTTTAGAAACATGCTCTCACAGAACGGCCTGACAGAACGACAAAGATCGAAGTTGGGAAAGGCCCTTCTATGATTGCCTCACATTGCCTATTCCCTTGCCCTCCACATGAGGGACGGCAAATGAATACTTTCAATGAAGCCTGTGGCTCTTGGACATGTGACGTGCATGTTGTTGTTGCATCATGGCGTCGGAAGGAACTTCAGTCCAGAAGGGAAGATCATTTCCCCTCAACTGGCGAAGTGTCGCCTCCTAAGAGGAGACACCCCTTCAGGACAAACACACACAGATTTATAGAACTCGCTGGTTAGCTCTCCTGATGTCACAATCTTTGAATTCAACTCCCGCCCCCCCCACATCCCACCACCCAAAAACCGTCAGTTGACACCGAGGGGTGTCACTGAAGTGAGCCACCCATTCGCGAAAAGAAATCCCTAAAAACTTACGGACTTGAACGGGTTCTGGCGAAATGGTGGTGAATTCTCTATACCCAGACACGACTAATGGGACTGCCATATATGGCGATCAGTTGGGGTGGTGCCAGGGGGGTCTTTCTGGGGCGGCATATGGCAGTCCCGTGGAGTGTCTGGGTAATGATAGAAAACTGTCCACTTCGATGATCTTCGTGTGGCCCATCTTTCTTGTTACCTCGACATGCTGCCCATTTTCTTCTGTAGGAGGAGCCTTGGCCGATCATTCTGCCTCGGCTCAGGTAAAGCGGCTCCGCCGCAGAACAAGTGAGACCTCCAACTTGCAAGACCTCGGGCCTTGGGGGTGTTTGGACCTGTTAAACTGCAACACTCCTGGTTTTGACCTCCAAAAAAGGTCCAAGTTCAGAAGTCCACGTTTTGTTGAGGGTCGAAGGGTGGGCCACCGTGGATTGTGGACCTGACAGCCGCAACCTTAGACTGAGGGACGTACCAACCTTAAACGACCCTAGGACCCTCAAACGACCCTCCGGATGTCCAGTGAAACCGCTTGGATGGGCGGTAGGTGAGGCCCAGGAAGTCCAAGACTATTCAAAACATTGTCTTTGGGTGACCCAAGTTCAGGAATTTCCTGTACTTGAGTGGTGGATAGAGTGGTGGCGATATCATAATCTTTGGACTTCGAGGGTCAAGGTCATCCCCCCTCCAACAATAGGTCTTATTATGTCTTATTATTCTCCTCACCCGCTTTATTGAGTTTCAGGAATCTTCTCCACCCCTTGTTTCACTGTGTTCCAGACAAGGTCATCCAAGAGACTCTGCTTCAAGGCGTTCACAAGACCGGTACAGAGATCTAAGACCCTCACAAGCCGCTGTGTTGAACTTTTCAGCTTCAGGTAATCATGTGTGTCATCCCAGTGGTTGGTTGGAAGAGAACCGCGTGCAAGGATGACAACGAGGGATTTCTTTGCACTTTCGAGGGGTTTTGCCCCACGGGTTTTCCATTGTTTTTGGGGGTATCCAAGCGGATTCATGTTGGGGGGTTCCAAATCACCACACCACCTGCCACCCTTCTATATAACCTCACAAACAACATCAAACAACAACAAATTATTGCAAGGGGTGGCCAACCTCTCAGACCCAACCCAAATAACAAATGTGTTATGACAATTCCCATGCGTGTCCTTCCAACAATGTATTTAAGATAATAACCCACTGAGAAGAACCAAGCAAGAGCCACAAAAATGACACACCAAAACGCCGCAGTGATTCTGACCCACTTAGAGGGTATAACTAACCGACCAAGCAAGAAACCAACTAACCGAGCCACAAAGCTTGGCACTGACTCTCTGTCTCCAGTAGCTTCTGGGGCAAATCGCCCGCGCACATGCGTGGACTGCCCCCTGGTCTGCTGATCGACTTCCAGTGAAGCCAACAGGAGCCCACCTGGAGAAGACATGAGAAGACTGGAAAGCCACATTTTTAAGTGTTGTTGCGGCTACAAGTAAGTAGTGGCCTTCATATCATAGATCGATATCATTCTGATGGACCTGACCTCACCAAGCATTGCTTGGTCGAAAAATGACGCCCGGACCTTCTCCGTCGTGCGATGCAAGTACTGCTAGTGATGTTTGATGCAACATCTGAGGGCGCCCTACTCCTCACATCTTCTCACCATCCTCAGAAACCTTCAACCCCAGAGCGAGCTGTCGCACCGCTGGAGCTGTCGCCTTTCAACGCGCGACGCCCACCTCCAAAGCCCAGGACAGCTTCTCCGTCATCAACCTCTGCCGAGGAGGGCTGAGAAGCAAACGGGGAGGCCATGTCTTTAGGGATATCCAGTGCTAAGGGTCACGAACCCGGGCGAGCTGTCGCATGAGCCGTGCTGAGTTCCATGTGCTTTTTAGCGAGGGTCCATGTGGCATCCGAGCACGAAGGTTGTGGATGGTGAAGCACTACTTCACTGTGGCTATACCCTCTAAGAGCCTCTAAGAGGGTGAAACCTTCAGGTTGAAGGATAGGCTCGCAAGATGTAGCAAGCGGGGTATCCGCCCCGTGTGGCCGCCACAACCTGTATCAACGGTTGAGAGTAGATGGCACAATCCCCAAGAAAAATGGCTTGTATGGACCCCATCTGTCTAGGACATCTTGGGGTCTGTGCCATCGAACCTCTGAAACCAATGTACACTCCCCGAAACAATGATGGAAGTGGATGGCACCTGGAAAGACCATGTTCCTCTACACAACACGCACCGGCGACGATCCGTTTACAAGCACCCCCTTGGTTCGAAACCGAGTATGGATGTAAGAATTCAGAATGACTATGTAACACGGTGACCATGTTCCTCTACAAACACAGGGGTTGTCCACTTCCATGTTTGTTGGAGGGTGGTATATATCTATATGTATATTACAGTACAATACAGTACAATAACTTGTTCAAACATGTTCAAGCAAACTAACCAAACATATGCCGAGAATTGGATGCTCTTCTGGGTGCAAATCATTGTCTGTGTGCAGCAACGCCAAGGCCTCTGCAACTTGCTGCCCTCATTCTCTTTGATGATCGGTTCGACGTCCTGAGGCATTTGAGCCAGTACATGCGGACGCACAGGAGCCTGGGAGACACATCGAGGTACCATAGACATGAAGTGGACACCCCCCAGCTTGGAGGAATTAGTCTGGCCATGCCATCCACTTCCAGGATCATGGACGGGAGCGTAACCTCTCCTTACTCGGAGGAAACCTCACATGGAAGTTTAGTTCACCACCTCTATTGATCTTCGGAACATGGTGTCATGCTTGCGAGGCGAAGGCGTTCTGTATCCATGCGCTTCCTATCTCAAAGGTCCCGCACACTCTATCGGCATCAGTCAGATCACCAGTGGAATCAAACACCGGTTCTCCTTCGCGTGAAGCGGCGTTCTGCGCTGACAGAGAGGTGCGCGTTTCCGTTCCGGCGGATCGATGGCACGTCCGATGGACCAAAGAGGGGGGGGGTCCATATCCCCGACACTCCATGGGACTGCCATATAGGACTGCCGATCAGCCAGTAGTTTTGGGGGTCAATGTAGGCATATATGGGCAGTCCCATGGAGTGTCTGGGTATTCAAGCACCGTAACCTTAGGGGTCTGTGCTATAAGTTTGTGTCCTCGCAATCCACTAGATCATTTCGGCTCTTTGTTTGGCACCAGCATGCCATGCCTGGACAGGAGGCAGGTAGTGTGCCCTCTACACATCCAACACCTTGGACAATGGCATCGGGAAGACCAAAATCATCTAAACAGGAAGCGGTTCAGTCAAACATGTGCTCAGAGAACCGATGCCTTCCCACAACACAAATACTAGGGGATGGAACATTGACATCAACCCATAGGAAGAAAACTAAACTATATAAGAAGCTCCATCTAGCTCCATCTACCATCACTGCTCCCTCTCTGTCGCCCGAAACCGCCCCCACTCCTCCCAGCAGACTTGCAAGACTTCTTCGATCAAAAGCCCCAAGCTGCCTGATGTCGCCCGGCTGAAACCGCCCCCGCTTTCCATCCGCGTAGGCCGCTGAAACAGCGGTCGACTCGGTTGAGACCCGAAACCTCTGACGCTCATGGAACCGGAAGTTGATGGTTTGTGTTTGTAATTCCACTCATTATTGGCTCTATGTGTGTTCTTGTGTGGCTGAAGTGCTTGGGGTAATCATTTGGTGTATGTGGATGTAGATGAAGCCTGTGGCCCAAGAAAAAGACCTGCCCTCCTCCCAAAACCGTTTGCCATCGTTCCCCAAGATGCCTTGATTTGATGATTGACAGTCCTGAGTCCTTGACCTGTTCCCCTGGACATCCAGAGGCCCGGAAGAGGCACGTTTCTGGCCACGTTTCTGGCCACGTTTTGAGATGTGTTGAGTCAACCTTTGGACCGAATAAGGGGTTTACTTCGCAGCAAGCTCACACCGTTCCAAGCGTTTGGTCTGTGCTTCCAATTTGGAAAGAAAAAAGCGCAGCGAGCAACGTGCATGGTTTCCCGTGTGTCCTTTAGCATGTTTTCTCTTGTCACGTGTTAGTATGTCTTCAAGTGTTTCCGAAACTGTCTTAAATATCGTTGGACCGCTCCAAAAATGCTAAACATGCAAAAGATGTCGGGCAACGGCAAAAGATAGGGGGGGCCTACCAAGCTGCTAGCCTCTCCATTTGTCCATTTAGCTGAACCAAGCTGCTGTTTTCCTCCAACATCTTCTTCCACTTCTCATAGAACGGTGGTGGAATCCTTTGACGTGCCGGCGGTGATCCAGTCAACGCTGATTTTTCACAGGAATTTGGCAGCCAATCTGCGGAAAGAGGCCGTATGATATATCTCCGTTTCAGAGTAGATGGCACAAACCCCTACATGTCATTTTAGATGGGGGTCCATATATACCACCTCCCCAGTTTGCACCTGGTGAATTTGCACACCTGGTTTTTGGACGATGCCGAACTCGCCACAACTCTCCGGGGCGGTTTCGGGACGTCACACCGAGCTTTCAGGGCGAACACACTGTGAGACCAGGCCCCAAGACAACGCAAGACCTGTAGAGACTCTTGACTCTGTAGTTCACCCGTCAGGCCTGAAGAGGATGTGGAATAATTCAAAAAGGGTGCGTTTATGGAATCGAGAGTCTATACATGGAGTCTGACATTAACATGTTAGAATTGGAACACGTTTTTTGAAGAGTCTAGACATATTCATATGCAGTGTAAATGTGTCAAGGACATGAAAAGGACAATGTTTACATGTTTTTAAGGTACATGTCACGCGCGGCTTCTTTAAGTTGCGTTTTGTTTTTTTTTTGCATTGTTGGTTCCTGAATGCGAGTCACATGTGGGGTTTCAAAAACGGCACGAACAAACAAGGAATGTAGATTAAGAAGCGCTGTTGATGAATAGACCACCTGATGATCTTATATGGAGATGTTCGACAGGTGATGGTATAGATGTTCGACAGGTGATCAGTCCAAAACGCATCGATGAAGCAGTCTGAGGCTCGTGTCAAGGCCGGGGATTGACCTTGCAGTGGCACAGACGTCTGCCGACCGCTTTGGAAACCAACGGCAGCTTGGTTCCCTACTCTATTCCACTTGTCCTACTACCACTGCAACAACAACTACTACTGCTACTACTACTGCCACCCTACTACTACTGCTCCCCCTCCTGCTGCTGGTGGTAGGCTAGAACCTTTACAACATGTTGCACGCTGCCATTAAGGAAGCTGGTTCCTCTGTTTATCTCTGTTTCTATTTTGCCTGTTCAGGTCCTTTCCTGCAGTTTTGCCCAAAGTTCCTTCTCCTGCGCTCCGCCCGGCAGCAAGCGTTTCAGGTTATATGCTGCTAAGCTTGGCGGGCTGGTGTCGGCTTAAAGTCATCGTATGTGCCAGCCACGCTTTTGAACTTAGATGAACTTATTAACTTGAGCCTAAAAGGCCCCTCTCTCTCTCTCTGCAGGCTTAGCTGCGTTCTCTCCTCAGGGGTCCCTACCTCTAATCATGGAAGGTGGGCACCGCCGGTGTGCTCTTCTGTCGGTGCACCCAGCTACGTCTGCTGAAGTTGGTTGCCAGATAGG